CCTTGGAAATCTACGTTAAACTTGATATTTTTTTAGGAAAATTAGTTTTCCGTGATAATGTGTGATTGAATTTATTTTTTGACCCGTTGTACATCATTTCCTATAGATTTCGACAAACCGAATTCAAATCTGGCCATATAGAATATTTCTATATCTTTAGAATTTTAAGAAAAGTTCGATTTAAATGAAAAAAATATCGATAAAAATCATGATTATTCTGGTTTACATGCTTTGATAACACTAGTTTGTTGTCAGTGCATGTACGCAGACTACATTTGAGGAAAAGTGTTGTCAATGCATTTTACCACACTGGAATTCGTACGGTAACAGAGGCCATCTAGCCACCGGTACACGTCTCTGTTACCGCTAAGACCGTGTTTTAAGGTTGCTTCCTGCCTCCTCAGCATTCGCAACGGATATCAGAAACGGGGACGAAGGAACATCCACGAATGCCAATATACTCCTCCGACAAATCCGGGTCACGGAGTCTCCTTCCGAACCCGTCGACGTCTCGTGGAAAATCGCGAGCAATTTCCACGGAAATTCCACGAGTTCGAAGTCAAAATTCACGAACGGCAACATTCTACCCCGGGTGGGGGACGGAGGTTTAGATTTTCATGGCCCACGGGGAGCAACTGGCGGGGAAAACTGGTTGCACGAGATGAGAATGCCCGGGGATCGAGTTTATGACGCGTCTCGTTTGCGGGCTACGCGAGGAATGCCCGTCTTTTCCATCCACTTTACGAACCATGGGACACGATACGATATTCGCTTTTCCGTTCTACATGGAACCGCGCTCGATCTTCATCCCTCTCTGCGGTCACGATTCAAGTGAGAGAAAGTGTGCCGGGCGATCCAATGAATTTCTATTAAAAAAAAAATATTTCCTGCACGAGAGAGAAGTCTCGAATGTTGGGTGAAAGGTTCTCTCTTGTTATACATACGAGGTTTGATCAAATAGTTCCGGGATTTTCAATTCTGATATAATATGTGCATCTATTCCATGACACTTGTTAAACCATTGTAAAACTATACTTTGGTCTTCTATTACATAATTCTGCAGAGTAGAGACATACTTTTTGACACAAGCAGATCGAAATAGATAGAAATAGACAGAAATAGAGAGAAATAGGCAGAAATGGACAGTAATAGATAGAAATAGATAGAAATAGATAGAAATAGACAGAAATAGATAGAAATAGATAGAAATAGATAGAAATAGATAGAAATAGATAGAAATAGATAGAAATAGATAGAAATAGATAGAAATAGATAGAAATAGATAGAAATAGATAGAAATAGATAGAAATAGATAGAAATAGATAGAAATAGATAGAAATAGATAGAAATAGATAGAAATAGATAGAAATAGATAGAAATAGATAGAAATAGATAGAAATAGATAGAAATAGATAGAAATAGACAGAAATAGACAGAAATAGATAGAAGTAGATGGAATGATGGGTGAACGGGTGTCTCTCTTGTCATCCGAGGTTTGATCGAAAGATTTCTTGGATTTTTTATTTATTTCAAAAGGTATTTTAGGTAATATTTGTTCGTCGATATAAGGTAAACGCACCAATGAAGGAACACTTAAGGGCTTCTGTAAACATTAAAGTCGAATTTCGAATGATAATAATATTAATAAATTTTTCAGCACACGAAAATTTGAACATTTTTAAAATTGTTTGAGTATGAAATAAGGTGTTGAAGAAAATCAATATATGTATACGCTGAAAATTAATCATACGGTGGATGCAACAGTAAATGAACACGTACCACTGAATTACATAATATGTAATATAAAACCGAGTAAATTAAGTTATTAAAAGTGAGCAAATGATTAAATATTGATTTATTTGCACTAGTGATATCTGTATCTTTTCTTTTTAATTTAATTAATTATACTTTTCCAACTTTTCAAATTGACATCTGCCTGTTATAAGAAGGTATAAATATTAAAAAATCCAAATTTTATGTGCAAAGTATTTATTAACATTATTATGATTTAAAGTTCGACTTTAATAGTTATAAAATCTCTTAAATGTTCATTCATTGGTGCGTTTACCCTGAACTAATCCTTGAACTACGAATTTTCTATAGATTACTACAAGTATTTCCCTATTGTAGATAATAAGAATCTATAGGAGATTAATCTATAAATAGATACAGGATCGAGGAGTACGAACACATTCTCTTCGATGAATTAATTCATAGAGACCACCGTGAGATAGACTACTTAATGGATCGAGAGTACACAGAAATGGGTTCGAACCGGATCTCCACTATTCCCTTGGTGAATGTTAATATCTGAACACCGTGAAAATTAACTCAAAGACGTATTGTTACCTCACACAGGGAACTTCGAAAACTTCGGAAGCTCGGAGGCATGGATTGCAAAATGCACAAAACGAGCAAGAGATATCTGCACAGACATGCTGGAAATTTTGAACAAAGAAACTGGGTCAAAGTGTTACATCCGCGTCCAGAATACCGTAACAAATTACATCGTCCCTGTCCCTGGTCGATGTTCTTTTTCTATTTTTTTTTTTTTTAAACATTTCCATCGTAATCACAAGAGGAAAATTACAGAGGGCAACTGGCCAGAAATTATTATGATTAAATTCTCGCGACTAAATGACGATAAAATGATTAAGCTTTTTCAACCGTCCTCATTAAGGAATGAAAATTAGAGGACACCGAAAAATTGCAATTTACTAGATTACTGTTTTTCCCCCCCTTCACTTACACAGGTACGGGATGAGCACGGACCACGCGAGATGGAAAATTGGAGGTGAGCTGGTGATGGTCCTTTAAAAGTTTTACGACGACCTCTCCCCGTTAGGCCCTATCGTCCTCGACCTTGACTGACGTTCCACGGAAATTTCAATTCGCTGATTAAATACTTAATTTACGAACTGGAATTACAAACTTCAATCAGTGTTTACTGATTCCTATGTTTCCTGAACATTGCCAAGATGCTAGATCGTCGACTAATCAATATTACATACTAGTTTTTCAGATGATAGAAGCAATTGATATTTCTTGAGACGTTCACGAACAATGTATCCTCGAGACATGGTATTTCACTGAAGATTTGTGTAATAATTATTTCAATAATTTATCACAAGTACTACGGCCTATACAGGATGTTTACGCTATTACCAGTGTTTCTCTCGCATCATGACCAATCCAACGATTGTCATGTATATATATATATATATATAGGACAAATAACTTAAGAAAAGTCAACAGAAGTTGTACAACATTGAAGTATACCAAGGCGTTCGCTAAAAAAACGAAGCTACAGTTTTATTCTATTATAACAGTATTTTTCTACTTTTTTTCGTATTCGATGGATATTCTCGATATTCGAACTGATATTTTTTGACAGAATTCAAATCCACACCTGTTGTAACATCCCGTACACACATTTTACATTCGTTGAACAAGAGCCTCGGTTTGAGCCGATTCTATCTAACGGCAATTTTTAATAATAAATGTCATGTCGATAACACGGGGGGAACAGTGTCAGGTATTTTATTTCGCGTGGGATACGATCGAGCATACACACGTACACAGGTCCGTCGCAATTGGCCCGATAAGAGGAACATGGAATTGCAAAATTGTGGCTCGCACGGCTAATAAAAGTGTCAGCTGACGAGCGTATTGCATGCGACGAGAAATATACTACGTGTTTACGTTAGAAACCGCATCTAGTAACGAGCATTTATACTGGTACGCGATCGAAGCTTTAATTCCACTAGAAGGTCGCATTATTTACAATAATTAATTCACGAATTAGTTGATACCTGTTATCTTTGTAATTTCACCATGGTTTATCTCTGTGGTTATTTTCTCTTATACATATCACGGTAGATTTTGGTAAATTCTTTTAATTTTTATATATTTCGAGATTTCTCATTTAACCCTCAAGCATTGCATTACTGTTCTGTGAATTAAATTGGGTCCGAATTAAAAGCAATTAAGGAAATATGTTTGCCTATCACTGGATTATAACATATTTAAGCTGTTGGTGTGAAATTAATTTGCAGACGTCTATAACAACAAATTTAATAAAGTACCAAACTTTGGGTTTAAGTCAAATTGACTGGAACAGTAAATAAGGATTAAAATCACCAAAGGGTTAAATATAATATATTTAACCAGAAAAAAATTATCTACCTATCTCCAATAATAATTCAAAATTTTTTAAATTGTTGATTTTATACTTGTTTGAAATATAGTGTCAAGTTTTTTTCAATAAATCATAACTGTTCATCCTAACAAACTGATCAAAATGAGTTTTGTTGACTTGTTTGACTGTATCCTAAACTTTTTATAAATTTTTCAATAGTGTCTTGCTATTATAAAATTGCATTTCTTTAGAACAATTGCAAAATAAGTGGTTAAAAAATAGTTTCTACTAACTGCAATAACTTTCATTACGTACTCTTATGTCTCCAGTGTAAGCACCCACAAAGCTCATTTGGATCAGTTTGTCAATTCAACGCATGATCTATTGAGAAACCGTTGACACTATATTTGAAACAGCTGTAAAATCAACAATTTAAAAAAACAAATCATTTGAGATACGTTTATATATCACTAAACACTACAATATATCCAAGTATGAACAAAATCCGAAACGTTACTCCAAAAAGTGTTCGATTTCGCTTTGAATGACCCTACATCGAATCACTTGTATCGATAAATCAGTCAGTGTATCTGTAACTTACGATCTGTCGGGTCTGCACACCTTAAGGGGTCGGAAACACACGCTGAAAAGGTAATGGAAAAGAAAACAGACCACGATCCGTTCGTCTCTCAGACATCGTTCGTTCGTGAACTTCGGCAATTTCTCTTCTGACGTGAAACGAAAGCATTTTCCGCGGTGAAGTCGAGGGGATCGAAGGGTCGGAAAAGGAATTCTAAAATTAGAGGAGCCTCTCCCCCGTGTTTCATCGGAACGATTTCGAGGGTTCGTACGTGACACTCACCCTTGTCGTCTGCTCGGAACTCCTCCTGGAGTTGTTCTTTGGTCGGCTCTGGGTCCGATTTGGTCCCCGTCTGCTTCGCGGAGGATTCAGTCTCCTTCATACTCTTCCTGGCTTGACGGCCGCGGAACGCCGCCTGTATCCTCGTCGCGGCTTCTTCCCTCTCCTTAACGACGACCTCGTCGTCTTTCCTCGCCTCTTCGTTCGACTCGTTCGGCTCGGACTCCTTCTCCCCTGTCTTATCCTTATGAGCGTCCTGCGAGTCTACCTTTTCTGGACTGGTCTCGGACGCTTTTGGAATATCTGAAAACCAAGTGGATACGGACGTGTCAAAGTGTGGTCATTTATTATCGTGGCTTTATTTAACAGTCACTTGTCCAATTGGCCTAGAATTTGACATTGAAGTAAAATATCGTGTAGGCATCATTGAAAATGATGCCTACTGGTACTATGGAAAACCTTTGTTCGCATCTTAAAGTGAATATTAATATTTTCCTTCACTTTAAAGGAAAATTACTTAATTTCAGAGAGATTACTAGAATCATTAACTCGAGATTATTTAATCTGTATTAGATTATCTCTATTAGATTAGGAGAGATTAACTAGACAATTACGAAATAGAATTCAGGAAAGTTAGTTCATTTTCACCTTTTATCGATTTAATTAATTTAATCAACAGTTTCCAGACCTAGTTTAGAAACCCTGTAGCGCACAGAGAAGTTATTTCTGCAATTAGCTTCACTCTCAAGCTTCGAAAGGAATCAATTTCTAAGTTCCAGTTACGATGCTTGGGAACTTCATCTGAATTTAGTCAATAGGCATAAGTGCATAAGAAATTTTCCAAAATTATAATATTATTTGATGTACATACACAGTCGGGTACACAAGATTCGATAAAAGTGCATCGTTCGCTAAGAGATTTAATCATAGACTTTGATGAAATCTCGCCGTGTGTATGTAATTCTCTTTGAACTCCGCGTTTCATGCAGCTCTCTTGATTAAGCTGCGGCTTTCCTGCCTCTCGGAATTTGTGGAAACTTCCGTTCTCAAATGCTCCAGTTTCGTTTTATTTGCTACACCAAACGAAGTTTAATATGTGTCTGTATACTTCAACGGGAAATATTCTAAATAAAATGTGCGTTTTTATACTACTATAATTACTAAAAATAATAAACACTTCATTTTATTATGCTATTAAAGATTTTCCTTACAAGTTAATTGCTGAAAAATTAAACAGAGGATTATATCCCTTGTAGTCGTCAATGAAATTGCAACCCAAGTGGTTAAGTATTTAAAAATAGACATTTAGATTTAGAATCTGTGTAATCTATCGCATTCATATCATAAGGATTTCTGTTAAAAATATACATATTTGGGGGAGTGATGTAAAACATGTAACTTTTGTATTGAAATAAAAATATTTCTTTTTGTAAGATGTATTTAATTCTCGTGTAATAACCAGTAAACATTTTAGATTTTCAATTAAATAAGGAATTAATAACTGGTATTAATAATTTCTATTTATTTTTATTTCTGTACATTTTTTCATTATGAAATAAATCCTGTTAAGAAAGAATTTTTGCTTTTCTTAAGACGCTGGGTCGGTCGAATGGTCGCGAAGGGTTCTATATGAACTCTTTAGAGCGCACTTTAGGAGTGAGAAGAGCACTTGAGAGTTCACGCCTTCAGGTCAGGGATATCCGACTCGTCAAGATTTTCTGTCCCTCGTTCCTACAAATTGTGAGTTCGACAAATTTCTCTCCCGGCAGACTGAAACTACAAGCACGCTGTGCAACATAAGTCAATGTTTATCTGAATATTGCAGTCAAAAATATTTCTTAAAAACGGACATTGTAACATTATTGCATTTAAATAATTTGTTGAATAAAATTTACGTCTCAGTAAAACAAATTTTTAGACATATTCTATATACTATCCGTTTTCTCAGTTCATATAAATAATAACCTTTTCTAACGAGTTTTAATGTTGCACTGATTACAACGTTAGTGGTGTTGAAATAGTACGAACTTTACAACTTTCATTCACATTTTTTAGAAACATTAACACATACATCTACTTGAAAGAAATGCAAAACTACTTTTCATGCATAGGATGTCCACTTATCCCTTTTGTAGAAACTGTTAAAAGATGAACAAAACTCCAAAGGGATGTAGTTAAAGGAATATTTTAATCTACAGCTCAAAGAATTTCATCAGAAATTGAATTTTAAAAAGACAGAAGATGCATTCCTTTTTACAATGTAATTATAATCAGACGCTTCTTTCAATTTCTTTTATATTTTAGTATTTACACTTACAAGTGCTTTTGTCACGAAATAATGGAAGAAAGACTTAGTAAAAATAAAAAAGGGTCGAAAGAGATGGTCGTTCGTTATTAGTGAATACGAGACCCCAGGTAAGTCCTACTGTGTTACTAATGTACCACTGAAAGAGGCGAGGAGTTGCAACAACGTCATGAACAAAAAGATATGAAATTTCATTTAAAAAAAATCTAATTGAACTTGAAAACCCTCACCCACCACTGCATCTATAGAAAAATTATTTTTTCTTATTATACGTTCATTCAAATGCCCTTCGTTTTGCTATAATTATACATATAGTATCTAAGTAAGCAACAGATTTTGACTCATAATATTCAAGTACCCCTATATAAGCCTTACAAAATTTGGAAGTCTCCAGGAATGTAAGCATAAACCATTCTTCCTTTTTCTTTTATGGGATTCACCTTTCATTATAATTTACAGAAAACCTATATACACTATGTGGTACCCAAAAAACTTGTTCAGAAACAATTTTTTTTTGTTTCTCCACTCCCTTAGGAAACATCGAACACTGTTCTCACCAGGAAACAAATGAGTTTAATGATAATTATATAGCAGATAATTCTCGACAAAAATATTTGACATGAATTTTTCTTTATTAGCCATCGTCCATATTAAGGAAGTGATACCAAAGTCGAAAACTGAGAGATGAAAATATATTTTTGGAAAATTTTGCAATTTTGAACGTGGATTTTAGTCATATAACAAAATTTTACAAAAAAATTCAAAATTTTTAATATTATCTAAACAAATATTTTTTTATTAAATTTTCTTATGTGATTAAAATCCCCATTCAAAAATGCGCAACAAACTTTTCCTACTCCCTGTAGTTTCCGTGATATTCCAAGAAATATACTTTCATCCCTCAACTTTGGAGTCTGTTATCACCCCCTTAACACTAAAACTACCGACAACAAACGTATACCCATTTTTATTGGTCAATAAACATAACACACTTTTAAAAATTGACAAATTTATAAATTAACTGATTTCTTTATTTTCATATCATAATAAAAGTTGTAAAAGATCGAAAAAAGTGTATTGTCATAACATTTTAATCACCATTATGAGAGTGTACTGAGCAGTCATTTTGACTGGTTTGGTAGTTCTACACAGTGTTAATATGAACGATAACCAATAAGAAAAATTCGTGTCAAATATGTTTTCGAGAACTATTTCCCACATAAGTTACATTAAAATTAACGTGTGCAGGTTCGACATGTTCCCTTGTCAATTCACTCGCATACACACACAAATACACACTGCATAGAAATAAAAGTTAGGTAGCCAGATGAAAATTTCGAAAGATTTCAGGCGTTTCTCTGTTTTTTAGGACAAGCACGGCTCATTTTTCTGCTAACGCACACAACTCGTACTTCTTCGCGAACGCTTGTGTAAATAGAGGGCCATGTAGGCCAGGGGTGGAGCGGCGGTGTATCGCGAAGGGGGGGGGGGAACGGGAAAAAGAAAAGAATGGACTCGCGTGGGAGACGGTGATAACAAAGAAACCCGTGAATCATTGCCGTTGCACCGCTAGTGACACGTGTACACGTTTCTCGCGCGCCCGAACACCACGACTGTACCTCCTCCAGTCTTACTCCAGTAAATGAACGTGTGGCCCGATATAAAAGAAAACGGTGCTTGGAAATTAAAATGGAGGAATTTCGAGTGGCGAATTGGGAAAGATCCAGGTCAATTTCCAAGAGTAATTTCTAACGCGACCCTGGCTCTTATGTCCGTTGCTCAGGAACGTGAAACTGGATCATCTTCCATGTTAGGGGATAATTATTTGTTTGTCGAAGTGGACGGCTGCCAGAATGAGATCGAATGTGACAATTGGAAAATATGGACTTGTTTAGTGTCGAGAATAGACGGTTCGATCTGTAGCAATTACTACGGCTGAATCGCAAATGCATTGCTTTTTGCGTCGCAAGAGACATTAATTGTACGATTATCACCTTTCGAAATTTTCCAATTCTTACTTCAAACTATATTAACTATCTTGGGGTTTATGTCGACACAGGGCTAACTTGGAAATTCCATATCGTATCACCTTTCTTCGCAAAGGACTACGCACACTTAACAGACCCAGTGGTGGCTGATCGGACGACATTCAAAATTAAAGCAGACCTTTCACCCCTTGCCGTATTTTAACGAGTCTGACTCGTGATGAAGATTTTGGCCCAAACGTAAATATCACGAGTCAGACTCGCGGAATGATTTTTTGCAGAAGAAAAAGTTAAAGATCCTTATATAATCAAGGCATCATTAAGATTATTTGGATTTACATCTACCCAATTTGGGGCTTAGCATCGTAAACCAAAATAAAAGAATAGCCTCAACACAAAGTCTCATAGTAAGGGAGTTTTGACACATTGATAGGTAACAAAAAAAAAAACATAAATAGTAGATACTTCAAATCGACACAAACGTTAAATTTCAACAGTTTCAATTGTTTTGAAAATCGCAGCCAATTTAGCTAAAACGCAGATGTAATACGATATCAGGATCCTCGAGTACTCTGAAACCGATCTTAAATTGTTGACAACATGAAACAAGTATTTTTTATTCCCCAGTGTAATTTCATGTTATGCTCCCTGCTAGCTAATTACACCACCTATACTACCTACAATGACGGCATAAATAAAGTATACTGTCATTAGTTCAAAAACTGTACCCACAATGCATACAGATAAAAAAATGTTTCAACAATAAAAATTAATTTTGGTTACCATATGCTACTGTTCCTTATAACCAGTTTGCAGAATTTTCCTGTAACTGTATACTTCCATAAACTAATTTACGAAACACAAAAACTTTAAGGGCTGATTTCATTCCTTCAGAAAAACCTTCCAACAGAGAAAAATTATTTCTCTCGTATCTCATCTGCTGTCTTAAATTCTATTAAATAACCAATCAAATTATACTAATTTAACTTTTAATTTATATTTATAATTGATAT